GAACACGGGCCCCATTTATATGGGTGTGTATGCTCACACTTTGAGACGGCATTCCTGAGACCAGTAAAACCCCATATTCTAATTGGCTGTCAGACTAGTGGGGCTCTGGGACTTTATCTGAAGTATTCTAAACCACACGGCAGGAGAATGATTTTTCTTTTTCCACATCATTTTTACCGTTTTTGTCCTTGCGTACCTCGTAATTAGTAGTAAATTCCTGAGCTACACTTGAAGCATGAGGGATTGTTTTGAGGACAAAGAGGAGCTGAACTAGACCTTGGAGCAGGGACATTCAAGTGCTTGGAAGGTGTTTGTGGATAACTGAGGAGAGTGAAGAAGAGATTGGAATCTTTGGAGGCCCAAGGGAATGAAGGCCCTTCAGGGCCAGCCTGGGATAGGGATGTGGCTCTCACCAGCAGGGGCACCTGAGGTGGGATACAAATAAGTGCATCCAAATTGCACCCATCACCTTCCTTCCAAATCTCTTTTCTGTTGTCCCAACACACTCACCCTATTCCCATCTTCCCAGGGTCTCAGGCCCCAAAGAGAGTCTCTCTGAGTCCTCTGTCCTTTGCTCCTCACAACCAGATACGGCATCTTCATAGTTTTAAATCTAGTCGACTCACACTTACTGATCTTCTCATAACTGCAGGCATTAAGCTTGACAATGGGGTTAGAGAAAGAAAGAAGAGAAAGCTGAGAGGGCCCTTTTGTGACACGATAGTAAGACTCTAGGAAAATTCCTGAGCGAGTGGGACATATGGAACATATGGAAAAAAAACCCCATTAAAAGCCAGACAGACCCAAGATAAAAGTAAATAGTATAGCGGACCAATGAATATTCCCAAACCCCACTATGCCTCATTCTGACACAAAAGCATATGCAACATGCACCTGAAAAGCTAATGAATATACTGCTGAAACCCTCCTATAAGATTCTCACCTACAGAAAAAAGATAAAAAGCCCTGAGGACAAAAGCTCAGTGCGGGCTTGCTCTGGAGCTCACCCACGCTCTTACTCAGGCATGAACACTTTTACACCTCCTTAAACTCTTAAGTGTCCCCAGGAGACTTGCAGCCAGGGGACCAGCGAGCAGTGGCAGCTTGACCCGGGCTCACCCCCTCATCCTGTCTTCAAAGGCCCCTGTCCTCTGACTGCCTGGTGAGCTAAAAGCACCCCCCACCCCACCTTGGCTCACTTCTATTTCTGTGACCTTCATTTCCCGGTGAGCTAACAGCAGCCCTGCCTTGGCCCACTCCTTTCCCGTAACTTCTATAGGGAGGCAAAGCAGAGCACTGCCTAGGCTCTCTCCTGTTTCTTCTTCTATCCTCAGTACTTCTTTTGATTCACTGTCCCCCTCTTAATAAAAATACTCTCAAAATCACCTGGACTTGTGCCATGAAATCTTTCCTACACACTCTCAAGAACCCACACAGTACAGACCAGCCTGAGGCAGACCTGCTCCAGGCCAGTTCCTGTCCAGTAACACTTGAATCCACAATCCTGAAGCACAGAGGTGGGGCTGGGATGGTAGGAAACATTATATCAAACAGTATTAGTTGAGGCTCCTCTCACCTTTGGTGACCTAATTTCTAATTCTGGAGATTGTAGAAGCTATAATGTCAAACCTTTCTCACCTACAAAAATATTTGGCTTCAAATTAAGACTGTAATTCCACCTTCGTGTTCTTTACTCTGGCCCCCCCAAAATGAAGAGTCTCCTACATCTTCATAATACTAACTGTCCTCTCAATCCCGCTCTTGCTCACCTCCCCTTGGGTCTTGTGTTCCATATTTCAAGTCTAACACATCTTGAGTACCTTGCTTTCATAGTTGCTTTGCTTTGGACAGAAAACATGCTCAAGCCTTCCCATTCCATTTCAAGAAAGATTAGATTTTGACTCCTCCATGAGTTTTTATCTTCTTTATACACCCTAATTGCCAGATTTCTCAAAAGAAAAATATCACTTCTGGTTCAATAAATGTTTGTTGATAAAATGAACTAACGAATACATCCCATCCACTTATTATTTTGTCTCATTTCTGCCCTCTTCTTTTAAACAAATATTCTTTGTAGCCCTGATACTCGTACTCTAGTTACCTCCTCCAGAAGGCCTCTCCAACATGTTCATGCTGCTTAATCGAGGGATCTTCCATATGTCGACTATCTCTCCTCTTTGGACACATCAAGATAGTATGCCTCTAAACAAACTAGATCATGTAAGTATTATGGATCAGAGTCTTTGAAAGGTATGTTAAAAAGTCCAGCATTTCTTTCCCATATCCATTGAGGGATATCAGCAGGCTGGGAAATGCTCCGGGTGCTGTGAGATGATTGGTGAGTAAGAGCGGTTAGATTCCTGCCCTTTGAGAGTTTACCTTTTAGTTGGGCAGGTGGGAAGGAGACCATTAACTTGTAAATACTTGAATAAGCAACATAATTTCAGAATGTTTTATGTGCTAAGAAAGAAATACACACGCAATTGGATGGAAAGTAACTTGAGGCTAATTTGAATTGTGCGCTTGGAGAATAGGTGCAGGAGGGGTTGCTGTGACTTTGGTGCTAATCCTGAGCTGCTCTAGGCACTTCTGGCTGTGCCCCACCTCCTCCAGGGTCTATCAGATGTAATTGTCCAGCAATTCCACTTGTGGGTAATTACCAAAAAAAAAAAAAAAAAAAAAATCAATATACTAACTTGAGAAGTCTGCACCTCCACATTCATTTTAATATTATTTACAATAACCAAAACATGAAAACAATCTAAGTGTCCTCCAATGGATAAATGGATACCAAAAGTGGAATATTATTCTGCCGTGACAAGAAGGAAATCTTGCCATTTGCAACAACATGAATGGACTATGAAACATTATGCTAAGTGAGGTAAGTCAGTCAGAGAAGGACAGGTATGATCTCACTTGTATGTGAAATCTAAAAATAAAACAACCACCACAGCTGAACTCACAAAGAACTGATTGGTGGTTGTCAGGGGTGGGGGGGCCTGTGGGAGGCAAATGGTTGAAGGAGGTGAAAACATAGTAACTTACAGTTATAAAATGATTGGCCCTGAAGATAATGTGTAGCATGGTGACTATATTTGATAATACTGTGTTCTATGTTTGAAAGTTGCCAAGAGAGTAAAATCGTAAAATTTCCCATCGTGACAAAAGAAAAGTAACTATGTGTGGTATGGATATTAAGTAGATTTATTGGGTGCAGATTTCTCTCTCTCCATATTGTGGTCCATCTTTGATACTGAATCCTGAAACTCATATTTAAATCGTTTGTTTACAAAATTTTGAAAACTCTTTGTTGGTTTATGATACACTCAAATTACTTGGCCCTGGCATTCAAGGCACCTCATAATTTGGCAAAAATTAACCTAATTCATTTCAAAACCACCCTTTTTTCCTCTTCCTTTTGTGTTCACTTTCTTCCCTTAGAAGACACACTCTTCCCTCCTTCCTCAACCTCATAGTCTTCTTAATCCTGTGTTTTGAAGGGGAACAGAATACATGTGCCTCTTTGGCGTGTGGATTGTTTTGAGCTGAAGGCAACTAAGATCCAGCAGACTGAGGGAAACCTTTGAACCTCTTCCTCAACTGCCTGAAAGAATGTAGATATGGGGCTTATACCAGGAGGAGAACTATTAGCAGAGATACTTTATATATCAGAAGGACTTGTCCGCTTGGTGTGGTAAACATTTTTTGGCCAAACATATGTTCTTATCTGCCTGTGAATTGCCTTCCTCCCATTTGAAGCCCCAGACTCCTACCCCCTTTTCCTTAGCTCTGGATGATATATAAGCCTCAATTGCCTGACTATCTTTGAGTGTAAATGTCTTTTGGGGACTTTTGTATTATCTATATATGTATTAATTATGTATATGGTTAAATTTGATTTTCTCCTGTTAACCTGTCTTATGTCTATTGGATTATTAGACCAGCCCAAAAAAAACTAGAAGGGAAGAAGGGGAAAATTTTCCTCCTTAAAATTCTATATTACATATGTATTTTTTCCCCCCTTTTTGCCCAGGACTTCATCTTCAGGCCCAGTACAAGTTTCTCCTTGTTTGAGAAGCATCTTCCAGGTTGAGTGAGTACCTCTCTTTTTTGTGCTGACAATAGCACCTGTTACATGAAGTATAATGACAATATTAAACTTCCCTGAGTCCTTCACTCCTGGAACAGCATTTTAAAAAAATCTATCCTCCCTTCTGTGCTCTAAGATATGGCTTACTGCAAAGGGCCAACCTTCCCCAAATGACTTAGAGAGATAAGACTCAGTGATGTCTCTTCTTTTTCACTTCAATGAGGCCATAGACCCTTTAACTCCCATTTTTTTTTCCTCAGAAAGGATAGCTGAGCTGTTTGCCTCCACTGATCAATTGAGACAACGCACTTGTAACTAAACCTTACTTAAGCCTCTCTCCTTTTTTCAGGCCCCTGAAATTTGACCCACCTCTCTTCAGGTCCAGCAAACAACCCCCTTAAAGATCCTGTCTAAGTATCAGCAAACCTCAAGGAAAAGCATCCCCCGATTATCGCACTTCTCGCATACCCTGTTCTTTGTAGCAGAACTTCATTGCCCTTCCTCTATCACTGAAAATTCCTATCTGCCTGGCCTACAAGATGCTTGCAGCGATGCTTGCAGCTTTATGGTTCGGTTGTTTTTTCTATTGCAGGAATTTCCTCTCCCTTACTGCAACATAATTATTTCAAATACAGTCTTTTTTTTTTTTTACCTTTGTCTAGATTTATTATTATCTGATAATACAAATTGCAGAATTGTTTGTCTGTTTACATAGTTACTCATTTTCATCCAGATTTGGAGCTGTTCTATGGAGCAATGACAATGCCAGATTCATGTCATATTCTTAGCATCTCTTAATCTGCCTGTGTCTCTGTTTCCTGTGACCATTTCCACAAATTTCCATTTCTGTTTTAGTCTTTTAGTCCGTCTTTGTATGTCTACCCCATCTCCCTCCCTCTCCCTCACTGACCTGTCACCTTGCGGCAAGCGTTTACTCAGGTGGCTCCAGTGAGGCTTACAGGTAGAGAAGGTTCCTTCCCAGGGTCCGGCTGGCTGCTGAGTCACATCTCCAGCCCAGACTTAGGCTCTGGCTGTGGTAGAAGTGCCTGAATTTATACACCAAGCTAGAAGTGAAAAACTGGTTTCACTTTTGTTTTTGTTGTTTTTTTCTTGTCTTGAAAAGAAAGCTGAGGAGTAAGAATTGTGTTTATTTTTATTGCAATTCCTGAGTTTAAATATCACTGCAATGAGAAGACTAATGTTGGTGTGTGTGTTTCTGTGTGTGTGTGTGTGTGTACGAAAGGGGGAAGGGGTGAGCACAAATAGTGAACAAAGCAGAAACAGGACAGGAAAGAATGTGGGAGAACAGACTTGGACATATTTGCTAGAGCAGTGTCTTCCTCAGGAATGTGCTTTCACTGCTTTGCTGTTGTGATTCTCATGTTACCCAAGAGCAAATAGAGAAGCATGCTCCCAGCACTAATGAAATTTGCTAGTTTGTGTTTCCTATAAAATACCTTTATGCTAGAATTGGTTTCAAGTTTTCAAGCTCTGTGTTCCAAAAATAGTTATTTAGAAAGTGGAGAGATCTTCCAACATTTTATTGCCCAGTTTGGATGATTCAATCCTAAGGTGGGCTAAGATCTTAAAGGTGTTCTGTGTAAAAAATATAAAAAGCATATTCTGTGTTTATGGTGAGAAAGGGAGAATTTTATTCTTCTTTATCTTTTATATTAGAGTTTCCTAGTAATGTGATTTCCGACAGTTGTTCCTCAAACTAAAACCCATGTGAAGCATATTGTTTCATTATCTTTCTCTGAATATAATGCATTATGATACTGTTTGCAGACCAATACCCTTTGTCCTATTGTTCTTCTATTTGAAACTTTTATAATCGGATGCAGAGGTATTCTTCCAGGTGAACTTCATACTCACTCTTTTTAGTTTCAGTTTTTAAAAGAAATAATTGGGGTCCGGGGGTTGAGAAAGGAAAGGAAATGGTGCCAGCTTCTCCCCAGAGGGAGAGCTCTCATGTGCTGGGTTCTTTGTTTTTAAGCTTTTATTTTTATTTTACGGGTGGGAACCTTAGGGGAGATCTCAGGGGAGGGTTATGGTAGAATATTCATCAGTTTTCCAGGTGTGCTATTTCAGAATCATGGCCTCTTCTGATTGGTCAGTGGCAGGGCAGGGGGTCTCTAGTCATCGCAGTTGGTTCACGCGTCAGCCACCTGGATTTGCTGCTTTTCCGGGCCTGGACCTGAAACATGACTGAGGCCTAGGAGTTATCTCCAAGGAGGAGAGGCCAGGCGAGGAGAGCTTACCCTGGGAGTGGGCGCCTTGTTTTCCCAGTGTCGCCCCGGCCAGGCCCTCAGGGCCTTCCGTTCCTCCCCCTGCCCCCCGGGGAACATTGGCACTGGCTGTGAATCACTTGGCCACTGTGTTCAGCTGTCAGTCTCAGGTTTCCTCTTCCACTTGCCCCGGAATTGTCCTAGCTCCTCACTGTCCTGTCTCAATTTAGCAGTAAGGTCACATAAGGACCACAAGCAGCTGGAGCCTTTTGATAACGCTATCTATCATTACACAGGGAAAAGGCATCTAAGAAAAACCTTACATTTTCATGCAACCAACCAAAATTTGTTTGCGTTATCAAGGTTATCAGCCTCAGAAGTATTCCACTGACTATTCTCTTATTCAGGGTACGGGTTTTATACCCCTGTTTTCAAGCAAATTAACAGATTGGGAATTTTCTCCTCTATCTGTACTTGTGCAAAATCTTCAACTAACTGAAGGTTCTGAATAAGAACAAACAAGTCCTTTTATCCATCAGCATCTATTGCAAGGAAATAGCAACTGGATATCCCATGTGCAAAGTTCATTTCCAAAGGTGTTTGGCAGAGCCGACAATAGTGATCCGGAGAGTAGCTCACCTTCAAAGGACAGTATACAGCTCTGAAGTGGAATGGAGTCAAGCTACTTGCAGATATATGGCACATTCCAAAGGGTAATTAGAACAAATTTAGTGAAAGGATTACTTAGAGAGGAAGGGTCAAGGGGATGGTGAGCACCACGGACTAGCTGGAGCAGGAAGGAAATCTCTCAAACCCTGTCTTTGTGGGAAAGGGTCACTACTAACCTGAGTCTCCCAAACAGGGAGCCGGGAGGACAAACACTCTGACCCTCTCCAAAGCTCTCTGCCTTGCCAGTCACCTGCAGAAACCTCCCCCATTGTCCAAACTCAACTTGTAGTCACAAGGCAAGGAAGCCTGGTGATTCAAGCCCCTAAGATTAGCTTCACGGTATTTGATGCAAAGGGTAGAGAGGTGAGAGTTGACACTGAAGAGAGAAAAGGAAATTGCCCAGCACGTTATGCACCTTTAAAAATTAACACCCAGGGTAAAATTAAATATCTTAATGAGAGTCAAGAAGACCTATGTATGGTGGTGCCTGCCTTCCTGTGTAATTTAATCTCCTGCCAGGCCCCACCTACAGCTTGTGCTCTAACCATTTCAGTGGACTTCTCATTTCTCACAGTGTTCAAGCTCTTTCTCCTGCTTGAATTTTTTCCTCTTTGGTGGACAGTTCTCATTCTTCTAGATTTGGTTCAGACGTCATCTCTCTTATCGTAAAAGCATTTCCTGAGAGTTTTTCCCAACCTTAGCTAAGCTAAACCTCACTCTCTCTGGCTCCCATATTTTTCTTTAATTACTTCAGGGATAGCAAATCTTGTTAATTTGTTGTAGACAATAATATTTACTTCTTCCCATCAAGCCTCCTTGAATGAAACATATACCCCAGCACAGGAGGTATGAAGTATTTCAGGGCTGACCATGGTAAAAGGCGTAGCCACAGAGGGCAGTAGCACATTAGCTGTATTTGGGTGACTGACAGGTTTGCACCTTAAAGAAGGAAGATCCCTCACAGCCTGAGACCATCCAGAGGTGGCAGCCACTCAGAATGCGAAATGAACAGGGGGACTCCCAGGTGGTCGGAGATGGGCCTGCAGTCCAGGGGAGAGTCTCTGAATCAGGCAGCCCCAAGGGGTAGCCACAGATTGGGGTCTCTATAGCCCAGGAGTTTATCATTCTATGGGGTCAGTTTTGCAACATGTGCAAAGTGGGAAAGCACTACATGTGCTTATTTGGGCTATGTTATAAACTACTGAGTGTGCAAAACTTTGAACTTGGCACCAGTGAGGTTTTGCTCTAGTGAGTCCCAGGCCACTGTGAAGCAATAGCCTAAGGGCCAATATAAAGACACTGTCTTTGCTCATTTATGTAACACCCAGAGGCCAAGTCTTCTATTGCCCTATGTGCCCAACATTCAGCAAAATTCCTGGCAAATAGCAGGGACTCAACTGATAATTATGCAATATAAGAGGGAATATATCAAGGAAGGAAGAAAGGAAGAGAAGGAGGGAGAAACAAAGTCCAAACATATTCTTAGTTTTTAAATTTTTCTTATTTTTCTTTGTCATATAATTTTGTATTACTTGAGATCATCTAAAAAGTGAATTATATGTTTTGTGTTACTTCTAACAAATATTTGACTTAAACTTTTTTTCAAAACATTAGTTTGGAAATTTATTTACACCAGCACATACTTATTCTAAAACTCCCAGAGGAGATATAAATAAGCATGGGTTTAATAATCTAGGTTACAAAAAATGCTCATTACAGAAAGCAGCGCAACATAGGGAGAGAAAAGCTAGACAAAATCTGACAAGCTTTTTTCATTTTTCAACCCTCACCCAAGGGTACATAGTGATTTTAGAGAGGGAGGGAAGGAAACATGCCCTGGTTGCCTCCCGTACATACCTTGTTTGGGAATCGAATCCACTTGATCAGGGGTCAAATCTACAACCTTTCAGTTCATGGGATGACACTTCAACAAGCTGAGTCACCCGGCCAGAACTCTGACAAGCTTTTTGAGTATTTATTTCAATTTATTGGATGAGGTAGCAGAAGCCCCTTGCACCAAAGAAAATCAGTTAATGTTCTGATGGTTTTGGTAGGACAACTTATAATTAGTAAAACATTCCTCTCTTTTACTTTCTAGGTACAGGACAGGGTTGTTTGCTTCCTTGAATGCAATGCACATCTTTCTGAAACTGTTTGCTGCCTCTTGGAAGAGCTCTAGGGCAAGTCCTAGTTTATATCTATTTGTCAGCATGAATCTGGCTCCTTGAGATGCAGCCTCAGCCTCACTGTGGATCACTCGCAGAATTTCATGAAAGTAACTGGAACTGTAACCCTCATTCTGTTGCTCTCTTTTGTGTACGATTGCTCTAACCAGTTTTATAATTTGAGATACTGTCTTGTGTATGGTATCTTTTTCAAACTCTTCCACAGAGGGTCCATATACTTGGCAATTTTGAGAGGTGATAACATATTTAGGATAACTGATACAAAATGTTTCCTTTGTATCACGATACCTAATTTTGTTCACAATATTGGGATGCTGTTTAAAGTGCTCCAGGAGAATGTTCTCTAGCTCAACATCGATATCAGTACCCTCAGCAGATGGTCGTGTAGGAGGCAATAAAATGGAGATGTTCTCTGACCAGACCTTGTTGAATACATTTCTCAGCTCCTTATCATGTAGCTCTTTCCCACCCAGGGACATGGCCATCCCTCTAATTTTTTCTAATAACTTCTGTTCAAATTTCACTTTTTGGTCTTTCCAAAGATCTTGTATTTTCTTTCCCCTAATTAGCATCTCACATTTTCTCATAATTTCTACTATAAGCTCCTCTTTAAGATTCTTGAAATCATCTTCAAATTTTCCTTTCCACTGAGCTAAGATCTCTCTCTCTTTGTCTTCTTGAAAATACCTTTCAAGTTCCTGCTTAATGGCTTCATGTTTTTCCACCACTCGATTATCGATCCAGCTTTTCTTGATCTCCTCAGCTTCTCCATTCCGAATCTGGCTGCTCAGCTGATTCTGCAGGTCCAGCACATGAGTCCTCAGTTCCCAGGTCCAGCTTCTGTACCTGGTCTCCAGGTTATCCCTAGCCGTGACCTCCTGGGTATTCTTGAACTGGAAAATGAAGTTTTCATCCACTAAGGCTTTCCATAAATCCCGTATTCG